CGTATTTATTGACATTTAAGTGAAAAGACACTTCTAATTTCTCAATAAAAATTAAATGATCAGTAAAATTATTAACTTGAAAGTGGGATTTACTATGCAAAATCCATGACGGTTTAGTTCCAAATTCACTCCCTTTTAATGTAATTTTTAGATAAACTACTTTTAAGAAATTAAAGAGTTACGTGGTTTCACCACGATGACTTGAAGTAATGGAGGATTTCAACTGATGTACACGTTTTATACATTGATTTATCCCGATTTTACATCATATTCTTGCATGGTTTAGGCTCTTTAGAGCCGTTTCTCGCTAACAATCTCTTCTCTAGTGTGTTCGATGTGTTTTTGTAAGTTTTATAGGAATTTGGAGTTTCTTGGATGATTCGGACACGTTTCGGGTGTTTATGGGAGATGTTAGTGAAGCAAAGAGGAAGAACGAGCTAAAAACGGACTACAAGCTACTTAATTCTCCTGTGCCCGGTTTGGTAGTGCATGCCCGGTTGGACCGGGCACTGAGGAGTTGTGGTTGGTGCTCGAAATACGAAGGCAAGAAGCAAGAATTTGGTAGCTGCATCACGCGCCCGATCGGGCTAGGTCCGCCCGGTTGTACTGGGCGCGTGGTGGTGGAAGGCGCCACAAGAACAAGAGCAAGGCAGCAAGCAGCAGGCCAACGTTTGAGCCTCGCGCTCGATCGGGCACCACCTGCCCGGTGGGATCGGGCACCAGGGAGAAGAAGGCAATGAAGGCAGCGCAACTTAGTACTTCCACCTGCCCGGTCGGGCGGTGTTCGCCCGGTTGGACCGGGCACAGTTACGCGGAAACCAGATTTGTTTTTTTCGAATTTTTATCTCATTAAGGGTATAAATACCCCTTGTAATCATTATTAGAAGACATTTAGTTAATTCCTTAAGCTTTATTTCTCTCTCTAGAACCCTAGTTACTCTCTTTCATTGCAATTTAATTACTTCATTAGATTTGATTATTGTTCATTAACAATTTGACTTATTTCAATTGAAGCATCTTTGGTATTCATCTCTTCTCTCTTCTCTTTCAATTATTATTGCTTTTAATTATGTTTTCTCCATTGATTATTGTTTTAGGGTTTGCTAGTATGTGTGAGTAGATTCTCAATCGGGGATCTTGCAAAGCCCGGATATGATTAATGCTTAGGTTAATTCTTTAAATTCTCAAATAATTCCAATTGAAATGCTTAATTGATTGTGTTTATGCCAATAACAGATTAGGAATAATTAGTATTGTTATCATCCCTTTGTTCTTATTGCAACGGAAGTTAAATATTAACGGGATTTGGGTATTTCAATTAAGGGTTTGAAGATCATCATGGAAATAGTTGATTGAATGATTAAGAAGTTAAGTATTGTGTTTAATGTCCCTTATGCGCTTGATTCCACGGAAGTAGGTTTGATTGTTAATTAGGGAAGTCATTGACAACTCGGGAGAGATCTTTGGTATTTTATAGGGCGTACCTTTCCTTGTGAACGTGTAATTAATTGGTTGGGGTAGGAAATTATCTTGTATTGATTATTCTAGTGGTGATACTTAATTCTAGATGTTTTTAGGAAATTTTCACTTTTGCTACCACCAAAATACATGTGTTTCACTTTTGCTACCCCTTTAATTTTTATTTTTTTTTATTTTACTACCACACAAAAACACCTTTGTTAAAATTTTCTACCACTTAACAGAAATCGTTAGAGTTCCGTTAAGTTTATTAAAAAAAATAAATAAATAAATCAATAAAAAAAAAGAAAAAACCAGCTGCCTCCTCCCTTCCTCCCTGCCTTCTTCTTCTTCCTCCCTTTCCATTATTTGGCTACTCTCGTCAGCCACCTTCCCGGCGCCGGTAGCTCCAATCCACCTCCCTTTCCTCCACCTACGCATCCCACCCCCCCTCCCTTATCCCCTTCTCGCTGCCACAACCCCCACCCCGAAACCGGAAAACAACCCTCCCTCCCCACCCCCACCAGAATCGGCCCCCCTCCCCTTCCCCACCCTGAATCGACCCCCACCCAAAACAGCCACCCCTAACCCAGAACCTAAAACACCGAAAACCTAGAAATCGACAAAGGGGGGCGAGCTGAGATTCGGTGTGAGAGAGGGTAGGCGGCGGCCGGAAATTGAAAACGAAGAGAGAGAAATTGAGGACACCCGATTTTGGCCTTAAACGAGAGAGAATAAGGAGGGACCATGGAACCCGAGACACTACGAAACCCACCTTGGAATTCAGCTTGTGAAGCAGCAGCAGCAAAGAGGGTGGAGGGGATCGGAATTAATGGAGAGTGAAGGGAAAGAGAAAGGAAGGAGTGAGGAAGGAAAGAGAAAAGGTTAGGGTTTAGAATTTTCGAGGATGAGGTTGGGTTTTTGGGGGTGGTTATAGGGTTTTTCTGGCGTGACTGAGGTGGAGGTGGCGATGGCAAGATGTAGTTCAGGGGGCAAGTGGTTGTTAGGGTGGTAGACTGGTGGCCAAAGCTTGGGGCGCCGGCCACCGGCAGGGCAGGGGTGGCTGACGGGAGCAGCCAAAATAATGGAAAGGGAGGAAGAAGAAGAAGGCAGGGAGGAAGAAGAGGCAGCTGGTTTTTCAACATTTTTTTTAATTTTTTTTTTGGGTTGCTGACAGGGAGGCAGTTAGGGTGGCTGAGGAGGGAGGGGTGGCCGCAAGGTGACATTGAGGGTGGCTGGATCTCACTAACGGAAATAGTAACTGAATCCGTTAACTGGTAGCAAATTTTAACAAATTTGCTTTTAGGTGGTAGTAAAATAAAAAAAAAATTTAAGGGGTAGCAAAAGTGAAATACATGTGTTTTGGTGGTAGCAAAAGTGAAAATTTCCATGTTTTTATTATTGATGATACTTAATTCTAGATGTTTTTATTATTTTTGATTTATGTTTGATATTTGAGTAGTCATAGTTATTTAATCCATCGTTTTATCTCTTATTTAGTTTTGTCATTGGTAAAAGTTAATTGTTAAACAACCTTCTCTCTGTGGGATCGACCCTGACTTACCCTACTACATAATTAGGAGGTTTAGTTAGATATTACTTTTGTTAGGTGTGCGACCACCTATCATCAACCGTCAAGGGAGTGACACAAAAGTGATTATAAATATGAGTAGTCACTTCACTCAAAATCTTCCTTCTTCACTAAGTCAGTTCTATTTCTCTCTTTTGCTTTCTCTCTCTGAAAAATTCGATCTGTCAGAGTTGTTCCCTTTCTTGAAATACTCACATAAGAAAATTTCAATAGCGGAAGAAATAATTCCAGAAGGAATTCCACAAGAAAATGAGGAGTTACAAGAAGATCAGGATCAAATACAAAATGAAGTGGTTGCACCCCGGCCAGTTTTGTGCCAAGGAACAATGTCGAATATCTTATGGAGAAAAATGGTTCCTTGAAGTATCCTGGTGTTTGCCCCAATCACCTTTTAGTAGTCGATATATATTCTAAATGGGTTCGAAACTACAGAAAGAGGAAGAGGGAAATGCTTAGCAAAAGAGTTAACAATAGATGTGGTGATCGACCAATAATTTTAAAAGACCCTGCAGGCCTTGTCATCGCCAATGCTTTTTTTGTCGGTTCAAATGTTGATCTTCTCAGAAATCACATCTTGCTTAAGCTTAAAGAAGACGATGACAAGGAAAATGCTGCTTTAGTATGCAAGGGTTGGGCTAGAGAGGTTCGAGCTGTTCATCTTCCAACATGTAACAGGTTGATTATGAAAAGGTTGCTAGTCTGTCGTGGTACCTATTACCATGTTAAGGTGACTAGAGGACCGAAGGGAGAGGCTCATGTCCTGAAATATTGGTGTGCTTGTGAGCGATGGGATAATCCATTCGCCTATCGCAATGTTGTTGATTGGAGTCTAACAAGTCCTGCCGATGATAGGAATTTTGAAGACTACTTGACAGATCCCATAATGAAGAGGGCATTGGCGACGCTCCAGTATGATCCAGGATATTAGAAGGCATCTCACTAAATATATCACTACATATATTTAACCTTAAGTCCTGTTTTAAAGAGCATACACAATTCAAAACTTATAAGTTTTGAAATGCTTTAATTTTGTAATTATTCTACTTCTATAAATATTAAGTAATGTTTATATTTTGTGTTTGGTATTTGCAGAGTTAGACATACCTAATACTTTATATTATGTTTAAAGAGTCATAATTTGGTTGGTTTCAAACGCCATAAATTACCCAAAGTAATTGACTTTCTTCACTCTGACTAAGTTGAAAAGTCCTAGAGCTAGTGAAGGGTCTTTGGGCTAGTTTGATTAAAACATAATAGCTATTGGGCTGATATCATACTAAAGCCCAATTATATATAGACCGGATTAGAAGGCTAATGGATGATTTTAATTTTCAAAATAGAGTTGGTGCCAAGAAGCATAACCGTACAACAGTTATGGGAGTCAGCCATGACCACTCCATTTTGCCTATAAATAGAAGTGCAAGGACCGAAAGAAGGAATCAACAAACAACTCAACAACAAGCATTTCATTTCTTTTAAGCTTTCTTTTTAGCTTTCGTAGTTTCTCCTTAGCTTAGTAGCTAAGCGATAGTGTAGTTTATCATCTAGCATGTATTGAAGATCGTTCATCTTTTCCAATTGTATAAGCATGGAGGTAATCTTTCCTTTAACTTGTACAATTGTAGACCTGACTCTATCCTTTCATTAATGGAATGCATTTATATCTTTTATCAAAAGTTTATCTACTCGTTTCTTTGAGCAATCTAACTTGTTTTACTTCTTTTGGGAAAGCTTTCTTATTTGTTTGTTTTACGTTAGCAAGATTATCAATCTTTGAAACCGGTAACTCGAGGGGTAGCCCCTTAATACTCTAGAACAAGATAAAGTATTTAACTTGTTGGTAAAGAGCAATATTTACCTCAACAATTATCTCAGTAGAAACTTGTATTACCCTTTTATATGTAATATTATGTACTTTTTTTTTGACAGGAAACGAGAGAATAGTATTAGCTCATAAAAGAATATCAGAGAGTACAAAGCTAGAAACCTTAGCTGGCACTTCTTCAAGCCAGAACCTCATAGTATCAAAAGATCTACTTAAGTTTGCTAGCTTATGAGCAACAATATTACCTTTCCTTCTAACATGGGAAAAGGAAATAGAAGTACAATAATCAGAAATAGCTAAAATATCAGCAGCAATACGTCCAAACACAGAGGGTTCACTCTTTCTTTTCTGCAGGTACTAGCACAGCTTGAGTGAATCAGTTACTAATGTCAAGTTTCTCAGCCCAACCTCAACAGCTACCTTCAATGCATGCCTAGCACTCATGGCCTCAGCCACATCAACTTCATAAGAGCCTTGAATGAACTTGTAGGTTGCAGCCATTACATCTCCCTCTACATCCCTCGCCACTCCACCTAACCCCACCCCAAACCTCTCTAAGATAGCAGCACCAACATTTAGCTTATACACACCACTCTTAAGTGGAACCCATCTTTCCGGAGAGGAACACACATTCCCTTTCCCCTTCCTTTTCCCAACAGCGCATTCATACTCTCTAGCCCAGCTCATAGCACTATCAATTATCTCCCTCAACTCCATTTTCCTCTTATCAAATAACCATACATTGCGGCGCTTCCAAATCATCCAACATAAGCACCAAAAATAATTCCACCAAGCTTTATCTTTTACTCGATTAACCAGCATCACCATCCAATCAGCAAACTTATAATGTCTCACTTGGTTAGTAACAATCCGCAATGAGGAGTAGTACCAGATTCTCTTACTCTCATCGCAATGTAGCAGCATATGTTCCATACTCTCTTTTGCCTCCCCACTAGAGGACACAAATGATCCACCTGCATTCCTCTTCTATTCAAATTAAGCCTCACAGGAAAACCATTATGCACAACTCTCCAAACGAACATCTTCACCTTTGGTGGGACACAAGACTTCCACACCTTGCGCCACACAATCCCTAACCGATTCTCAGATGATGAAACCACCGGAGCTCTGCTATCCTTTAACTCTATGTAATAGGCAGATTTAACTAAAAAGAAGCCTAATTTGGTATGATGCCACATCCACACATCCTCGCAACTATGAGCTGGCAGGGGGATATTTTTAATAGCACTTGCCTCCTGCTCAGCGAAGAGAGCATCAACAATCTCCCTTTTCCATATCCCAGACTCGATCAGTTCATATACAATTTGTAGAGAGTCCTCTGAATCCACTTCCCTTCTAGACCACACCTTAAAATTTGGAAGACCCGACACCCATGGGTCTTTCCATATATTGATACTACCCCCACTCCCTACTACTTTACGAGCTCTCTTTAACACCAAATTTCTCGCTGCACAGATCGATTTCCATGTGAAACTAGCATTATAATTTAACCGAGCCTCTAGAAAATTTATCGACGGAAAATACTTTCCTTCAAGGACTTTTGACATGAGAAATTGAGCATTAGTAAACACTCTCCAGGCTTGTTTAGCAAGCAAAGCTTTATTAAAAGCTTGAAAATCACGAACTCCTAGACCTCCTTCATTCTTAGAAAAATGCAGTTTCTCCCATGCTATCCATGACATTTTCCTCTCCTCCCTTCTTTGACCTTAGAAAAAACTCCTACACATTCTCTCCATAGTATCCGTGATGCTCTTCGAAATAAAAAAAAACACTGCATTGCATATGTGGGAATTGCTTGAGCTACCGCTTTAATTAAGACTTCTCTTCCTGCTTGAGATAATACTTGCCCTTTCCACCATTTTAGCTTTTTCCAAACTCTATCCTGAATAGTTTGAAAAACCTATTTTTTAGAACTCCCAATGTAAGTTGGACGCCTTAAATATCTATCATGTCCTTCAACTGCCTTAAAGGATACCTTCATCTGAAGCATATTAATCTTATCTGGCACCAAGTTTCGGCTATAGGACATCTCAGATTTCTCCATATTCAGCTTTTGGCCGGAAGCTGCCTCATAAGTAGAAAGAACCTCAAGAACATTATCCACTTCATCTTCCGTAGCCCTATAAACAATAAGCTATCATTAGCAAAAAATAGATGCGATATTGGCCTCATATTTCTACCAATCTTGATCCCATGAATGAGCTTCCTTTCTTCCGCTTTCAGAATCAAAGTAGAGAGTCCCTCCGCACATAACACAAAGAGAAAAGGGGAATCGGATCCCCTTGTCGAAGTCCTCTCGACGGCCTAAACTCCCAAGAAGGCTACCCATTTAAAAGAACGGAGAAAGAAGCTGAAGTTACACATCTCATAATAGTACTCACAAAAACCATCGGAAAGCCAAGAGCTTTCATCATTTTCTCCAAGAAACTCCACTCCACTCGGTCATAAGCTTTATTCATGTCTAATTTCAGACCCAGAAACCCCATCTTTCCTTTCTTCTTTTTTCTAAGGAAATGGAAACACTCATAAGCAACCAACACATTGTCGGTAATAAGTCTGTCGGGAACAAAGCCATTCTACGTCTCATCAATCACATCTGGAAGCACCACCTTCAATCTATTTGCTAATACTTTTGACACTATCTTATAAAGGACATTACAAAGGCTTATCGGTCTATAATCAACATGAGACTCACATATCTTCTTTTAGGGATGAGAACGATATGAGTTTGATTAATAGAACCAACATTTGCTACATTATTAAGCATATTCAACACCTTATTAATCACATCCTCACCAATGTCACTCCAATAATTTTGAAAAAATAAAGCATTCATACCATCCGGTCCAGGCGCCTTCATTGGGTGCATTTGAAAGATTGCATCAAAAACCTCCTCTTGACAAAACGGAACAGCCAACCCAGCACACATCTCCTCCGTAACTTTCTGCTTAACTAAATTCGTCATAGCTTGCGGATTATTTTGGCAAATAGAACAAAAGAGTGTCTCAAAATACAAAACAAAGACTTCAGATATTTGACTCTCTTCATGAAACACATTACCAGCTTCGGCTTTGATCATAGCCACATTATTTCTTTCCACTCTCTTCTTACCTTTTTGATGAAAAAAGCTTGTATTTTTATCCCCACACTCTATCCACGATTGTCTGCTTCTTTGGTGCCAAAATGCTTCTTCTTGGTTTTCCAATTCATCCATCCTAGCATCAAGAGCTCTTGTTTTATCTAAATTCTCCACTGTTTGAGAACTCTCCATTAAAATCTTCATCTGATTCTGACATTCTCGAATCTCCTTAGCGACATGTCCGAAAGTCTTCTTACTTCACACATTGAACTCATTTGTTGCACGGGCCAAATTCACTTTGACATCATCATTCGACTTCCAAGCTTTCTCTAGCACCTCACTATTCTTCTCATCACACAGCCACATTGATTTGAATCGAAACAACTTTGTCTTCTTATTATTCTTGCTTTTTCTTGGGCACCCTTTCACACATAAAATAAGAGGAATATGGTCTGATCTTCGCTTCGTCAAATGAGTAACAAAAGAGCCTGGAAAGGGAGACTTCCAGCTATGGTTTGCAAACAACTAATTAAGTCTCTCTTGTATATTTGCTGCTCTTCCTCTGTTGTTATTCCATGTGAATTCATACCTAATAAAACCCATATCAACAAAGCCACATTTGTCAACTGCTTTACGCAAATACTCAGTTCATGGACCTTGAAATTGTCCCCACCTTTTTTCTCACAAGCTATAAGAATTAAATTAAAATCACCACCACATAGCCATGGGGTGACTTTATCCTCATAGAGCTCCTCCATCAATAATCCTGTCTTGAATTTATTTTCTTCCTCTGGATGCCCATAAATACCAGTGAAACTCCATGCCCCAATTACCTTGTCATCAATCCCCACATCAGTGTGATTTGCAAAAAAGCTCTTCATGTTTAACACCACTACACTTTTCCACAACATCGCAAGCCCACCTCTACGTTTCCTCCCTTCTTCTTCACACTCTACCACTATATTACTAAAACCTCTCACCTTTTGTCTAACATTCTCCATTCATGCTACTTCAATTTTGTTTTCGACAAGAACACAATTTGGGGATTTTCAAGGGATATTACCCTCTTTAAAGCTCTAATTGCATCGGGACTCCCCAACCCTATGCAATTCCAGGATAGAATGTAGCTCATTGGCTCGGAAGAGCCCAAAATGTGGGGCCCGCCACCTCATTATTTGTCTCCTCCAAGCAAGTGTCAGCAGAGTGTAGCAATCCTTTTTCCATCCTTAATTTCTTTCTCCCCTCCTCTAACTCCAAAGGAACATGCTCAAGCCTTATGTCATATTTCCTCTTATTCCCCACTAAAAGTTCCTGACCCCCACTCCCAGTCATTGGAGTATCAAAGTTATTTCGTATATTAACTTTCCTCAACTTCCTATTATTATTTTTATTAATAGGGATCACACTCTCAACAGTACTCCCTGCTAATACACCCTTCTCAGTCCCTCCTATAACTCCCTCCCCACTACCATTAAGATCATCCACCCTCTTTTCCGTACTACTTTCTATCTTATCTCCCTCTCTTACCTTCTCCCCCTCAATGCTAAGAGACCCGCTCATCTTGTTTATAATCTCCTTATTCACCCGAGTAATCTCATGATCCTTCATCCCAAAGGGCTTAGCTACAAACAATTGCTTCACACATTTTTTTTTCGGTTCCCCTTTATCTTCATTACCCATACTCGTGTCTTCCATGGTGGAGAGACACGCAAAGCATCACTGAACATTCTCTTAGTTACTCCTTCACCCACATTATAACCATAATCTTTATCCCCATGACCAAGCTTACCACACACATAGCAAAATAGAGGTAACTTCTCATATTTTACTTTAACTTCCTCTTTCACCCCACCTCTCATCTTTAATCTAACTCTGTCTTTTAAGGGCTTATGGGCATCAATTAACACCCTAATACGCAAAGATTTATTAATCTCTTCTGAACCTTCTTTATCAACAGCAATAAAGGTTCCCAATTTCTCTGCTAAAGCTTTCGCATTATTTAGATTACTTCACCCCATGAAAGGTA